ATGAACTCGTAACTCTTTTTGCTTGTTCTTTGCCGCTAGTTTTCGTCTTATTCCTTTTCGTTGTTTTCGTTACTTCGAACGTTTGCTTCAGTATTTTTTCCTTCCTGTGTGAATTCTATCCGTTAGTGTTTCCATTTCTCTTCTTTCACGAGAAATGTTTTTTATTAACTTCCTTACTTTGCTTTCTGAAACATTATACGTTCCAGCCCAGTCGGATGAGGGGAGGGGAGAGGGAGTAGGAGGAGGGAGGAGAGGGAGAGGGGAGAGGAAGAGGAAGAAGAAAAGGAGAGAGAGAGAGAGAGAGAGAGAGAGAGAGAGAGAGAGAGAGAGAGAGAGAGAGAGAGAGAGAGAGAGAGAGAGAGAGAGAGAGAGAAATATATCGATGTCATATGAAAAAAAGAATAAAGAACGAAGAACAGAGGAATAATGAGACACAACCAGGCAGAAAAGGCGACAAAGGAATAACGAAGAAAGTATTGCCGGCATTAGTCTGCGATTATGCTATTGTTGTCATTTATCTTGCAATTGCATCATTGAGGCGTTTCGATTACGTCATTTATTGCGTTCACGTGTGCACAGAAGTCACACGGAAGTGGAGAAATGAAGAAACAAATATAGACACTTGTTGCAAGTAATATTTTCTTGTGAAAAAAAAAAATGTAACAGGATTGAAAAGCTTTGGTTCTCGCAAAAAAGGGAAAAATATAAAGTGAGGAATAAAAATATATTTATCATCTTTTCATTATTTTTGGATGCATTTATTCATCGTTCCGAATATATAAACACAATTAACAAGAATGTATATTCTTTAGATTTTTGTATTGTCTGTTTTTTTTTCTTATTTCTTATATCTCGATTGATTTCGTGTATTTCAAAAAGATTTTTGTGCATCTTAATATGTGATACTTTGTTGGCAAGAGATGAGTACTTGTGAATAGTTGTTCTATATCATATATATATATATATAATATATATATATATATATATATATATAATATATTATTTTTTTTCCTTACATGTCATCTAATGGCATTGGCGGCAAATTCAAAATATAGCGACATGGAGAGGCTTGGCGGAAATTCTTTGGTTCATAGGCCAGTGTATGTGGATTCCCAGAATATGCCAGATATCAAAGGCCATATAGCATTATGATAAAAATTTGTGGCGATAACAATTAAAAGAATTAAGGATTAGGACAAAACGTGCTGGATGTTGCAGAGCGCGAGTGAAATGGGTAAAGAGGGAAGAGCAAAGGGAGGACGAAGGCCGTTCAGGACTGACACAAAGCCAACCTTTCATCCTTTCATACGCCTTAGGAAATGGACAGAAAGGGGAGCGAAGGAGAAGGAAAAAGGGGAAGGGGGAGAAGAAACGACTATGCAAAATTAGTTGACGCGAGAGCTGAGGGCCGACGTCGGGGTGATCCTTGCATTGGGCCTCAGTCTCCCTCTCCCGATGCCCAGTCAACGACGACAACGAGCAAGGGATTTTGGGGGAAATTCTGTGTGAGGAGTTTATTTTGATTCTTTCCAGAGCTTCTAACAGCTCTGTTCTACAGGAATGGAATCTTGGATATTGTAGTATTAAATGATCTATGTTTTCGTCTTAGCTGTGACACCATCTACATAGTGAACCGTTTACTATGTAGGTGCTGATTTAATCTATGTTTTGTTTAATTATTGTTTTACAAATATTTATTAATTTTTGTCTTTAGATCTTGTATTTTTGTGTTTATGATTGTATTTAGATGAATAACTTCTACATATTCTTGCGGAGTACCTTGTGTTTCTGTGTGTAGGTTTGGGGTTCCGTGGTCTGTCTGCTGTTTTATTCGCTCTTTTTTTAAGGTTTACTGTCACTCGGGCAGAACGGGTTCTGCTTACGACACCCGCAATTTCTTCGCTCGTTTGGAACACGGGGAGTCATCGCTGTCGTTGTCTCCGCCTTATTTTTTTTTTTTCTTTCTTTTTTCATATTCGTAATTGCTTGTACTAGGCACATCGCTTGGATCTAGTTCAAGAGCCGGGTTCATAAAGCTTTCACTTCGCTAAAATTGGCAAGAACTCGTGTTAACTGCTCACGCAAAGGCGCTGAAACGTTTTAGGAATGAATTATGGTAGCCGAAAGGTTTAAGATTTTAAAGCGCAAAAGAAAATTGTCCCTCTAAACCTCTTACTAGTTTTGACAAGAAAAGAAATTAGATTCACTGATCACGTTTTTATACCATTCACATGTAAATGATAAACAATATAAGACACATACAGGCATACACACGCACAAATTAAGGGGTCCTCATACCACTGAGATAAATCCATCGTAAAAAATACATAAGAAACGGCTAGTCACTTATCAAACAGATAATGAAAGACGAAAGTATAATAAGATCAACAAACTTTCCCATCAAAATAGGATATATCAAAATGGAAGCAGAAAATATTTTGGATCCTGTTCCGACTGAAAGCCGCTTCGTCTGACAGCCGGGCCAGCAATCACGACGGGAGGAGAAAAACGCTTTTTATTTTAACTTTGAAGTCCTTTTCCAACCCCCTACAATCATGGCAGCTTTCGAAGGTGAGATAATCGCATATTTGGTTTCTAATAGGATGATATATTTGGAGAAAGGAGTATATTTGTCCGCTAAATAATGTGTGTTGGCGTGTTCCGATGGCTTTGTTTACGTTTTGTTTGTTTAATATTATTATTGTTTTGCCTCGTTAGCTCTTCTTATTTTACTGATATTTCTTATTCAAGATAATGGAGTCACTTACATTACCATATTTAGTACAGAGGGATCACCTATCATATGTATTATCTGTTTAAAGTAGTTACTATACCCTAGGCCTATAATTTCTGGAAGGGCAGTTCTCTGATAGGACTGGGTTTCGAAACACATTCATGGAACTTCATTTTATTTATTGAAGTGCACTTAGAAATGTAGAAATGAAATTGCAGTATTTGTTACCGTGAGACACGCACCCTGTGGAGACAACAAGCCCCTGTGTATCCCCTTTTATTAGCACTGTGTGCAAATTTACAGAAAAGGGTATTAATAACATTAATAATAATGTGTGAGGGTGTTGTGGACTTAACTTACTCCCTCATCAAATATGGTCTTTATTTTGTGGTAAATATGAAGATGCAGCACCGGTACCTGTGTTGTTAATGACTATATTTTTTATGCTCTTTAAGAAGACGTCCATATCCCTCTATGTTTGTGCGTTGCTCTTGGTAACTTTAACCAATATTGCAACATAATCACTTCATTAGCATTTCCCTGTAAGCACAGATTCAAAAAGGACTTTTCTCTAACGAGGATCATAATTTGTAAGTTGATTTCATGGGAATATGTTAGATGTTTGCTCTTTACATCAATTCTTAGATTCAGAAATCCATATATTTAATTAACCTCACTCCATGTTTCTTAATAATTCTAGAAATTACAAGATAAAACATAATCACATCTCTTTATATATCCCTGCAAGAGCACATAGAAAATGAAATTGGGAAATGTTTTGTGCAAAACAAGAAGGCCTTCACAGCATCCATCTTACAACTTCAAATAACATTCTATCTGAAACTATATTGTTTTTGTTTTTTTTCTTTTTTTATACCCTATTCCAAACACACCTGCTTTGCAGATGCACCACTTTCCAGCAGTGTGATTCATTTGTCCTACTGTTGAATTCAGCCTTTTCTTTCTCTCTTTGTTTTTTCACTCCTCGGCAAGGTATAGAAAATGATGAATGCTAAAAACTGGCACATAGAGAAAATGCAAATAATGGAGCAATAACCTACATATTTGAGTAGACTAAAGTAAACAAAAAGACAGACATACCACCAAGCAGGTAGCTAACAAATTTGTGTACTTCTACAAAGAATTGAGTAATTATGTAATTATTTACAGTAATCTGTCCATATGAATTTTTTCAACTATAATTTTGGACAACATTGGGAGATGGTTTTGCTTTGGCTATAGGTTATTTTAAAAGATGCAGTAGTGGCTATAGAGAAGAAATAGACATTAGTATCCAATAGACTTTTTTCAACACATGGGACACGATGGGCTTAGATATAACTATGGGGGCTACTAATGTCTATTTCTTCTTTAGGTAATTCTTTACAGTATGGACACACTCGCCAAAGACAAAGTCCACAACTCCATGTCAAAAAATTTATTCATCAATCTAAATTGCTGTGACTGGGCATGTCCTTCAGCAAGATAGAGCTGAAAGTTGGGAGCACTGAGTGGATTTAGGCTGAGAGCGGTGCTTTCTGCAATCTTTTTCATATATATGTAGTATTACTGTTCGTGTCTGCAGATTATTTCTTGTGCAGTCAACTGCAACTTTTTGTTCTCTACAAGACAATTTTATTTTATTTGCCCCAACCTGTGTGTCCATATCGTAAAGATTAATCCTTCTTTATAACCACGAACAGTAACACTACAAATATATGAAAAAGATTGCAGAAAGCACTATGTATATTGGGTAATTTTTCACAGCATGGATATACTTGCTGTAGACTTTGTCTCCTACTCTTATGTCACGACTTAGTCAACAATCAAAGTTGCCATAACTGTATGTGCCTTTTGGGCACTGCCCAAGGGGAGGGTTTGGAAAAGTTTACATCATCTTGGTATGTTTGGTAAGAAAGGGCACAGCAAGAAAATATGGAAGTAACGTATATTTTTCCTATGGTACAAATTAAATGCACATTTGCAATCTTCTTGTATCTTTCCACATGTTATCCCAGTTTCTTCCAACAAGTTTTGAATGTCTAGAATATTGGTTTGGATATTATGATATCCCACAACACTCTGACCATTTGTTGATGATGAAATTTCCAACGAGCAAAATTGTCTGAATAATATTTTGCATGGTAATTCTTTGCAGTATGGATGCATTCGCCAGAGATTAAGTCCCTAACTCTAAGTCACCAAATTTATTCATCAAAAATTTATTCATGACTGGGCATGCCCGACTGCCCGAGTGGAGGTTGAT